TGAAGGCCTTTCAACTACCAAATAGAAGATTTTCTATTTGATCCTGGTGGTAATAGGGAGCCACTGGAGTTCTCTAAGTTGGGGGTGAGGAGAGGGAACATGATCAGACTTATGCTTTAGGAAGGTTATTTTGGCAGCTGAGTACAGAAAGGATTAGAAAGAGGAGAGGCTTAAGGCAGAGAGCCCAATTAGGGGACTGTTGCAATGATCCAGGTGAGAAGTGACAAAGTCCTGGCCATGTGATTAGCAAGAATGGGATAGGTGGGAGAGATTCTGTTGAGGGAGGAAGGATGAGATTTGGCCACTTGGATGGGCTATGTGGGCTGAGCAAGTGTGAGGAACTGGAGAAAACAGTGAGGTGGTGAGCCTGAGGGACTGGGAGGATGGTGGTGCCCTCAGCCGTGAGAGTAGTGGGAAGGGTGGGAAGGAAGAGGGGAGGGTTTGGGGAAGGGGTTCAGGTTTATGCCTATGCAACATCCAGTTCCAGAGGGGCAGGAGAAAGTTTGTGACTCAAGATTGGAGCTCAGGAGAGATGTATAGATTTGGGAGTCATCTGTACAGAGATGATGATTGCATCCAGGGAGGCTGATAAGATCATGTATGGAGGAAGAAGAGGAGAGGGCACAGGACAGAGCCCTGTGGGATGTCTACAGATAGTGGGCATGAACTGGATGAAGTCTGGCAAAGGAGACTGAGGGGGAGAGGTCAGATAGGTAGGAGGAGAATCAGGAGAGAGGGGTGTCCAAAAGCCTCTAGAGGAGAGAGAAGAGAGCATCACAGTCTAAGGCAGAAACAACATGCAAACAACTGTGTACGAACAAGCTATGGACTATATAAACTGGAGGGAAAGCATTAGAATCAAGGGGAATTGGGAAAGGCTTCCTGTGGAAGGTGAGATCTTAGCTGGGCCTCTTTTTCAGGAGACGCTGCAGTGAGGTCAAGAAGGATGAGGGCTGAGAAAAGGCCGTTGGATTTGGCAACTCAGGTCATTAGTAGTTTTGTAGAGAATGGTTTCAGTTGAATGATGAAGTTTGAAGCTGGACTATGGTGGGTTTAGAAGAGTGTGAGAGGAGAGGAAGTAGAGACGTCCTTATCAAGAAGTGAAGCCAGCCAGTAGATAGGGAGAGGCTGAAATGTCCAAGGCTGGATTTGAACTCAGCTCATCCTGAATCCAGGCCCAGTGCTCTATCTGCCATGCCATGTGGCTTCACTAGGTTTGGGTTTCCAATCTGCAGAACCTTCAGGTGCATGTACTTACCTTGTATTTGGATCTTTGTGGGTCCCTGGGTTCCAGGCAGAATGGGTCCCACCTCCTGTCTCTGCACAGGCCATCTGGAATGCACTCCCTTCTCACCTCCACCTTGGAGAATTCCCTGATTTCCTCCAAAGCTCAGCTGAAATGCCTCTCCTACAGGTTTTCCCTGATATCTCTTAACCACTAATGCCTCCCTCTGACCTCCACCCCCCTCCAAATTACCTTTTAGTTATTTTATGTGCAAATTGTTTTCCCTGATGGAATGTAAGCTCCCTGGGAACAAGGATATTTTACTTCTGGCTCTGCATATACCCAAGTGCCTGGGTCAGAGTCTGGAGATGCTGAATAAGTGTATATTGATGGGTGGATGGACTGATTTGACTCCTAAGTAACCCAATATTGCATTAGCTTTCAAAGATGCTGTTATCACATGGTTGATGCATGGGGAGCATCTTATCACCCGATCCTATTTTCCTAATTTTCCTTATTGTTAAGGGCACCGCCATCCTCTCTTGGGCTCCCTCTCAGCCCCATATCCAGGCTGTTGCTAAGGCCTTTGGATTCTACCTCAGGAGCATCTCTTGTGGATTTCACCTCTCCAGCATCTCTTGTTGATTTCACCTCTCCCTCATCTCTTGTTGATTTCACCTCTCCAGAATCTCTTGTTGATTTCACCAGCATCTCCCCTTGATTTCACCTCTGTAGCATCCGTCCAGTGTCCCACCCCCTTCTCTCCTCTGTTACCACCACCCTCCTAATATAGGACTTCATCACCTTATGCCTGGCCTATTGTAACAATCCTCTAATTGGTCTCTGCCTCAAGTCTCTCTTCATTCTAATCCATCCTACTTAGCTGCCATTCCTCAAGTACAGATGTGACAAATTCATCTACCTCTCAGTAAACTCCAGTGGCTTCCTATGACTCCCAGAATCAAATACAAAATCTTTGGCATTTAAATTCCTGTAACAACCAGACCCTCTCCTACCTTCCCAGTCTTCTTACACTTTATTCCCCATAGTGACACTGGCTGCTTTGCTGTTCTTTGAACAAGACACTCATCTCCCAACTTTAGATATTTTCTTTGGCTGTGCCCCCTGCCTGGAACACTCTCCCTCCTCATCTCTGTCTCTTGGCTTCCTTCAAGTCCCAGCAGAGATCCCATCTTTCACAGGAAGCCTTTCCCAATTTCCTTTCATTCCAATGCTTTCTGTTGATTCCCTCCAGTTTATACAGTCCATAGCTTGTTTGCACATAATTGTTTGCATGTTGTCTCCCTCTTAGACTGTGAGCTTCTTGAGGGCAGGGATCATCTTACTGTCTTTTGCCTTTCTTTGTATTCCCAGCACTTAGCGCAGTGCCTGGCACATAGTAGGCACTTAATTGATGTTTTTTGACTTGATTTCACTTAAACTCCTCATAGATTTTTTAGGTAAATTGTTGTCAGGACAAGTGTACCCTCCCCATCTTGAGCTTCTGAAACCAAATTTTTTGAGCACAGGTGTGAGCCACTGGTCCTGAGTGAGTTTCGTCTCTTTTGAGATCAGAGCCCAGTGTCCTGACCTACTGAACAACATTATCTTTGGATGCCAGTCCTTTCACCCCACCTGTGTCCTCTCCCTCTCAGCCTGGTATCTTCTGGGCCTGAGACTGGGACCCGACAAGAGACTGTGTGTGAGCGGACACATGTGAACTGTGTATGCCTTGCGCATGCCTGTAGATGTGTGGTGGCTCCCCCTTGGTGTGCAGGCCTGTTGTAGCTCTCAGATCAGCAAGGCCCCAGGTGGGGAGGATGGAACAGGGGTTGGGGAAAAGGGGGCTTCTCCAGAGTTGGGAACATGTAACCTGTCGGTCCTGAGCTGCTTGGACAGAGCCCAGGGTAGATGCTACAGGGAGGGTGCCAAGCCATGGCCCCTAACCTTGGAGAACCCCTAGTCTGAAGGGGGGACCATGGAAGGATTTCTTGGAGATGGTGAGGCTGTGTACAAAAGGGCTTGTGGAGGCCTGACTGTTGGTGTCTGATCTTGAAGAGGTCTCTATTTGGGCCTTTTGTGGTACAGTCTTGTCCGACTCTTTGGACCCCATTTGAGGTTTTCTTGGAAAAGATACTGGAGTGGTTTGCCATTTCCCTCTCCAGTTCATTTTTACAGACGAGGAAACTGAGACAAACAGGGTTAAGTGACTTGCCCAGGGTCACCCAGCTAGTAAGGGTCTGAGGCTAGATTTGAACTTAAGATTTTCCTAACTCCAGGCCCAGTGCTGTATCCACTGAGCCACCTAGCCATTTGGACCTGGTGGATGCTAATTGTGTCCTAAAGCTCATCTTCTGGGACTGACCTGCATTGTTCCTCCACAGCTATACCTGGGGTCCCTCAAGCCTCTACTATCATTCACTATTGGGAAGAAAGGATGATTCCTGGCCCCGGGCAAAGCCCTTCCCCCTTGTGGGTCTCAGTTTCCCCATCTAGGACAGTTAAAGAATATTAGTCATAAGTTGCAGAACATTAGAATTATAAGGGAGATCATGCCCTAGTTTGAAGGTTCCTTACAGCTCAGACATTCAGGAATCAGAGGTCATCTGGGTTATCCAGAGGGGTTCTCCAGCCTCTGTAGGTGGAGAGAGCTCACTACTTCCTAAGGAATTATTAGAAAGCTTTTCCTGAGATTCAGCCTTACCCGTCTAACAGCTTCCCCCATTGTCTTTAGTCTCCCTCCCCATTGTGTGTCCCCCTCCTTCCCCTTACCATGAGAATCAACGAAAGACACCAAAAGTCTCTGAGGGAAGGGGGTAGGGGCTGTGCAGGTGGTTTTCCCCAAAGTCAAGGGGTTTACTCCCCCCCTCCCCCCCACCATGTTTTATTATTATTATTATTATTATTATTATTTGCCTTTTTTTAATGAGGCAGTCAGGGTTAAGTGACTTGCCCAGGGCCACACAGCTAGTAACTGTCAGGTATCTGACACCAGATTTGAACTCAGTTCCTCCTGACTCCAAGGCTGGAGCTCTATCCACTGCACCACCTAGCTGCCCTCCTCCCCATGTCTTATTTAAGAATTTGGGACAAATAGTTCTCCCTACCCGTGGTCAAACCTCTCTTTTCCCTTGTGGCCAGTAACCGTCCTCAGTTGGGAACTGGTGACCCCCTGTGCCCTCCCCCATACGTAGTGCCGCCCCCTTCCTGCCCCCTCGACGCCCTGGTTCTGGCTCCTCTGCTATTAGCTTCCCCTCCCCTTCCCCAGCCCAGCCTCTGTTTGAGGAATGGTGACTCTCTCTACCCCCTTCTGGGGCGCCCACCATTCAGCCTCAGGGGCCTGTTCACCCACCCCAGGATCCAGCAGGACACAGGAGTGGGGACCATGTGTGTGAGCTTAAGAGTTTCTTCTTCTGGTTGATAGGAGAGGATGAAGTCTGAGCCCTGACCCTGCTTGCCCATTCCCTACTACTTTTCTAGCCTGATTGGTGGAGAAGACACAGGAGGGGAGGCAGCTGCCAAATGTCTCTTCCCAAGGTCCCCTTCATCCTCCCTTGAAAGCCCAAATCACAGTCCCCCACAGCCAGTTCCCAGTACCCTCAGCCTAGCCATCACTGTGGGGCAGGGCCGCCCATCAAGAACACTTTACTTTCTCTAGAGACTACCAGATGTGGAAAGGGGAGAAATGGAGTGTTCCACTTTGCCCTTTTACCCAAGGCTCTTGGAGGGGAGCCGTCTACACCCATGGGCCCACCACACCACATCACACAGGGAATGTGCTTTATTGCAACTGTTTATTGCATTTTAACCTGGAGCAAATTGGCCCAAAGGCTGAAGGGCACCTCCCCTGGCTGTCGCGACACGCACACGTGGGGACAAATACAACTGTAACGACCGGTCTAGCAGCTACGCACGCACAGCAGGAGTTGTCCACGCACACTAACATATGACTGACTGGTTTCTTGTGAAGCAGTTGGGCATTTTCCTTTTTCACATTAACTACATGAATTTCTCTTGACTACATCAAAGAAGACAGAAGAGGTTTTACACAAGTAACAACAGGGAGACAGGGCGCTGGAGTCACATGCTGGAATTCACCCAGGCAAACGACGGTTCTAGTGGGGGGCGAGGGAGGGAGGGCGGGAGGGAGGGGGGAGGGTGGGAGGGAAGGAAGCCCTCTCCCCTCCTGCCTCTTCCTCTCCCTCCTGGGGGCCAGGAGGGCTGGGGCAGGACAGCCCAGTTCCATCTGTGCACAACCTACCCGTGGAGACAGGCTGGGGTGGGCTCTTCTGGTGGGGAAAGGAGCCAGTGCTGTGGTAGAAAGACTGAGCCTCGCAGCGGGCTAGTCCTGGGCTAACCACCATAGGCCAAAGGGGGGAGGGGGACAGGATCTACAGCTGCCTTGACCCTGACTGGGCTCATCACCAGGGCCCCTGGGGCCCAGTCAAAGCTGCCCTTGCTTGGCCGGCACTGATCTGGGCATATCAGCTCCCCTGGCCCCCTCTGGGGCGTTGCTTCTGTCGGTGGGTCCTGCCGCGGTCGCCAGGAGAAGCTGGAGATCGCTTCAGCCTCATCCAAGCCATCCTCGACAGCCCAGAGAGCTTGAGTCAGGCACCCACAAGGTCACTCCTCTTCCTGCAGCTTGGCCTTCCCACTGACGTCCCAAGGACCTCTCTCAGACTCTCCCTCACCAGACAGCTCCGAGCACTGGCCCAACACACCTTGGCCCCACGGGGTTAGCAGCAAGGAGCCGAGCTCCCGGTGGAGAACAGCAGCAAGGTCAAGGTGGCTTCCTTTCTGGCCAGTGCCCGCTGACCTGCACCTTTCATCCCAGAGGCAAACTGTTTGGAGGCCGATGCATTGTCTGCAGTCAAGCAAAGCCAGGCTGAGCCTCCCCAACAGATGCTGGCCTTGCTCATCCCAAAGATGGACTTCACCGCCGACGCGGCCCTTGCTACTGCTGGCGTGACTTCCCTGTTCTTCTCTCCCTGCTCAGCGGCCCAAGACGACGGGCAGCAGCCAGCTCTTGCTAGGAGAGCCGTGCCTCCAGTCTCCCTCCGCCCCTGCTGCCGGGGAACTCTTCCAGATGTTTGCCAGGAGCCAGTGCACAAGGAGACCCGTTAGCCGAGTGGAGTCAGAGCCAAGAACAGGCCCACAGCTCTTCTTTCTAAGAGGGCACAGGCTTAGTGCTTATCTGGGCCACTTTCCCCATCTCACACTTGCTCCCTGAAGGCACAGATGCAGGATGCCAGGCAGGCAGGCAGGTGAGGGCCCTTCGTCAAGGAGCCTTCTGGTGGCCCCTTCACGGGCTTGCTGATTGAGGACGCATGTGGAGACTGGGCCTGGAAGCTCAGTGGGCAGCTGGGAGGAGGATCTGTCTCCAGTGAATCTCCCCAGAGAGGGCTCTAATGACATAGCCTAGAACACTTCCAAGCTGCGCTCCCTACACTCCTGGCCCTTCCTCCTCTCAGCCCTACCGACACCGCACACTGCCATCTGTACCTTTTAAAGGCTTCCTTGTCCATAACATGGGCCACAGATCTGGCTGAGTTAGGTACAGTCATGAAAAAAGCACAGATAAAGCGCCCATAAGATTGAAGACTCCTTCCTGCTCCCCCAAAACAAGTGTTCTTCTGTGGCACCCATCCACCCTCCCAGATCAGTGCCTCCTGCAGCGTCCACACCCTAGGAGCCGTGAGCTAGGTTTGGCGAAAGGTCCCTTACTTGGCCAGCACATCAAACTGCTACTGTCTGGGGCCTCTGGGCTGGTCCTGAAGGTGGTTGTCTGTGTCCCCCTCCATTGCCAGACCTGGGAAAATAGGTAAGAATGACATGGGAGTGACCTCCCTTGCCCCCAGCCTATAGGCTGAAATCTTATGTAAAAGAGGGCTGTGAGAAACCAAGTTTGTTTGTTTGTTTTTGGGGTTTTTTTTTTTTGCATCAGGTCCCAACCACAGAAATTAGAAATAAGATTAAAAATCGTGGTCCTGAATGCTTTTCAGCTCACCAAATGTTTCCTTGAAAGGATGAAGGTTGTGAAACACAGATGGGCATTGCCAGCCAAGAAGCCAGGGCTAAGGCCTCCCTCTAAACTCCTCAGATGTGGACACTGCAGGGCCTGCTGAGTGTGTTCTGCTGCCATGGCCTGGTGAAGGCCCTCCCTGGGGGAGGCTCTGCCCTGCCTGGCTGTACCAGGGGATGAGGGACAAGAGCTGGGGGCCAGAGGATCCCACAACAAAGTAAACTGAGTATGGCGAGGGGATCAGAGGAAGGGAGGTGGGCAGGGGCAAGCAGAGGCTGTGTGGAGCCCAGGAAGGGGGTGAGCACATCGGGCCTCCCAGCAGGGCTCTGTCACCAAAGATTCCCTAATGTCCCAGACGGTCTTTGGGCTAAGGACCAAACCAAAGACAACTAGAGGCTCCCTCCAGCACTTGGCTGGGCCCATGAAATGATAAAGAGGGAAAGGAGGTGATAAGCAAACCAGACAGACCCTCTGCTTTCCCAGTGGCCATGTCTTCCAAGAAGAGGGACTGCCAAGCAGGCTGGTCCTTGGGTGTCTGTTCCGAGGCCTGGGATCTCTGCTTGGAAGGGCTGGGTTTTCACTGAGAGCCGCCGCTTCCACCAAGGCGCCATAATGGAGGTTCTGAGGAGATGCCATGAGGTCAGCCCAGGCGGGTGGTTCTGCAGGTATCTGGTTTATTCCAGCCCCCAGGAAGCACAACATTGCACTGTCTTCATACATATGAATTACAGGGATTTCAGATGGGCAATTCTTTACATGCCAAGGCCCCAGGAGGAGCTTGGGGGTCCCTGGGGAAGCCCAAAGCTCTCTGGTCCCTCAGCAGGTCCAGAAGCTTGGTGCCAAACACCAGGGATCTCAAATACCCACATCTACTTTCCCATTTCCTTTTTTTTCTTTCAAGTTTTGGTGTGGAAAGGAACACTTGCCCAGGCTGGGGTCCTTAGGGCCTTGGGATTGGGCTCCGTTCTGCCCTAGTGAGGAAGTTTCTTGGAGGGAGTGCCTGTGTGTGCTGCTGCTGTTGCTGGGGCTTGCTTTGCCCTCGGTACAAAAGAAAGCCACTGTGCTTAGAGGACTCCTTCGTAAGGTTTCTGACATTTGAAAAAGGAACGAAAGGTTCCCCATTTTCCTTTGGTCAACTCACTCTCCCGATTCCTTCTGCTGGCAGCAGCAGCAGCAGCAGTGGTTTGTCTGACAATGTGTCTGGTCAAGAGCCTCCACCCTCAGCGGCAGTATCAACTCTGCCTCCCCCCAGGCTCTGAGGTGGAAGGAGAAGACGGAACCCTCCCTCCCATCTGGGCAGAGGCTTTGTGCTGGTCAGCCCCCAGCCCACCCCAAACTGAACACGGCTCTACGAAGGTGCCCTGCTGAAAGTAAAAAGCCCAGGAGACACGGACACGTGCACACACCCACAAAACCCTAGTTCTCCATCCGCTGGGGTCTACCTGCCTCCAGTTCGAGCTCAGTTTATTCCCCTTAGGGAAAGCGCTCGTTGATGTCAGCAAGAAGGACAGCCAGCCAGCCTGCCCACCCGGAGCTTGGAGCACACAGGCAGGTGGGTGTCCGCGTCCTGGCAGGAGGTGGCCCTGACCCCCGGCCGGCCGGCCCCAGGCCCCTCTGCTTCACATTCACAGAATCACTTCTTGTGCAAAACAAGCAGTCTAAGTAGAAAGAATGCCCTTGTTGCCCTCCTCATCGTCGCCCGCTGTCGTAGTTGTCCTGCTGATAAAAACCGTAGAAAAGCCCCTGGCTTCCTGGGCTGCGGCCCGGCCGTGCTCCTGGCCCGCGTCTATCTGCAGTGGGAGGGCAGCTGTGCATAGACTGGGTGGGCCAGCCGGACGTTGAGCGAGTCGTTGTGCTGGACCAGGGATGTGTGCTGGTAGTGCAGGACCAGCTCCTTGAGGCTGCCATACAGGTTGTAGGGCTCGGCAAAGCCATAGCCGCGGGCTGTGCTGTAGATCACACAGTGCTTGACATCCCCGTCCGCCCTGCGAGCCAGACAGGAGAAGGACAGCCGTAAGGGACGGTGGTGAGAGGAACAGGGGCTCCCCCCTCCCCAAGGAGCTCCCGGCTAAAGAGCCCCCTCCAAAGGGCTCAGAGAGGCAGCGGTGAGGGGCAGTGAGGGGAGCGGGGGGCCCCCCCTCCCCAAGAAGCTCCTGGCTAAAGAGCCCCCTCCAAAGGCCAATGGTAGGGCAATGGAACCCCTGAAAGCAAGGGAGGCTCTATTTTAGAAGCTCCATTTTATGGATGAGGAAACTGAGGCTCCCAAGGCCCTTAACTAAAACTGTGACCAGGAAGCAGAGGCCTGGCAGCTGGGTTGTCTGACTGCTGGCCAGCTGCTCGGTTCACTGCACCACACTGCTAAAAGGCAGACTGTTTCACCACACTGATCATGCCCACTAAGGAGTTTTAACCCACTTGACTCTGAGGCCCACTGGCAAACAGACTGTAGCAGGAGAGAGGATGTGGGAAGTGGTGGAAGTGAGTGGCCCCTGGAGCCAGCAGCCACAGAGGGCCAGGGCCACCCACGGCCAGATTTAAGAGAAGGTAAGGAAGCTCTGGTGCTCCTGTCTGCTGTCGCCCCAGGAGCCCGCAGCAGGATGGAGGCTCTGGTGAGGACGGCTCGGACCACCTGTCCCCCCTGCACTGGCCTTGGCTCAGGGCCCCAGCGCCTGGGCAAAGGACACCTCTGGCCTGAACTTCCTAGACAGCCACCAAAGTGAGCTGACCTTGGGCGAGGGGTGGCCAGAGGAGGTTGGGCCTCTGAAGGCTTCCCTGACTCCTCCTTGACATCATCCCTTCCACCCTTTCCAGAGACCGGCAAGTGTGGCAAGTGAATATGATGTAAGCCCTGCCCCTGGAGCTGAGCTGGGGGTGGAAGCTGCTTCTTCCTGGCTCCTCCCAATCCCGAATCTGGGAGGGAGCCCCAGGCCTCTGCCTCTGTGGGGAGGACAGAAGGCTCCTCAGCAGGCAGCCACGATGGACCAGCTTGTGGCACCTGGACCAGCTGCTCGAACATGGCCAGAAGGACCTGCTCACTGGATCGAGCCCTGGGATTTTCCTCATGAAGCGGGAATGCGTCTGTCTACACTGACTAGTCTGAACTTCCCTCTCTGAGCCTCAGTTTCCTTATTTGCAAAATGAGGACTAGGGTGATGTGAATGGTCTGTAAGGACCCATGATCTCTGCTCTGGTGTCTCCCACATCTAGAATGTGGAGCCAAAGCTCAGCCATACAAGAATCAAAGGCTCCTGACTTCCTGACCGTGCCTCTGCACTGCCTGCCCGCTGGCCAACGTGGGGAAGGCCAGGCCCTTGGAGGGGAGCACCTGGAACAGAGACCCTAAAACCCCCTTGCCCCAGTCTCTGGGCTTGGGGCCCTCTGCAGGGCCTTCAGACCCTGCCAGCAGCTGGCTCAGACTCACACCACGGAGCAGGCGTAGCATCCTTTCTTGCTACTCTCACGAATTAAAAAGGCTCCGTCCGGCTTCCCGTGGAGCAGGTCTTCTGCTTGGAGTCGATTGAGATCCCCAACAAACCAGGTTTTCTCATCATAATGTGGCAGATTTTCATCTTCCTCATTCATAAAATAGGCCCTATGAAGCAGATGTGGAAATGTGACCCCATCAGGCAGGCAGGGCACCCCCTCCGGCCCAGAGGGGAAGCCCTGCGCAGGCGGCCCTGCTGAGGGGGCTCTGCCCAGCCTCTGTAGCCACAGTGCAGCCTGGGCACAAGCTCCCTTCCCAGCTGGGGCACCCTGCCCAAGCGCTAGACCATGGTCCTCCCCTCCAGAGAGCCCCCAGAGGCACTTACTCATCAATGTGGTCGTTTTTGATTCCCAGCCAGTCATTGAGTCGTTTCTGTCGCACCCCTTTGTGACTAAGCCATCTGCAGAAGGGAGAAGAGACAGTGTCCAGTTCAGGCCCCCGGCCCATGGCTGTCCGCCCCACACTCTGCCTCTGGTCAGACCGGACAGGATGGTGTCAGCACGTGGGCTGAAGAGTGTGCCCAACTGGCCGCCTTTTCCTGACCTTCCCTGTTCCCCAGGGGCCCCAGCGGCCAGGGACTCTCCCCATAGCTCAGGAGGGCCAACGGGAGGAGGAGAGGACAGGGGACTGGGGGGGGGGCCCGCCCACTTACACCAGGTACTGGTCGCGGATCTTGCGCAGCTGAATCAGGTCGGGCTTAATGCTGTTCATCTTTTTGTCGGTTTCCCGGTTATCCAAAGCTTGCTTCTTCAAATCCTGCTCCAAGCGCATTTTGCTATCGTGGATTTCGCCCAGACGCGATTTCAATTTCTCATAATTCATCATTATCCTGGGAAAACAGGAGGTGTGTTATGGACAGCGGAGTGGGGAGGAGAGGTGCGGGAGCCTACCGAGTGGGGCCAGGCTCTGACGATCTTTGGGCTGAGTGAGGGGACGCATATGGGCTGTGTCCTCTGGCCGCCGGGCCGTGGCCAGCCTGAGGACACCCCCTGGAGCTTCTGCCCTAGCGGTGACCACTGGAAAGGCTGCAGGGGCCCTGGGAGCTCCCCTTGGTGCTCACTCCGGACAGAGAGTCCTCACACCATTCCCATCACCTCGAGCCCCCAGGGATCCAGGATGGCGCCGAGCCCATCTGATCCAATCTATTCCAACAAGCGTTTAGTAGGTGCCTACTGTGTGCCAGGCTCTGTAGTAGGTACTGAGGATACAAAGAAAGGCACCCACACGGTCCCTGACCCACACTTTTGCCCTTGCCCTGCTGTCACCTTCTCTCGTGCCCCAGTTTCCTTTGCCTCCTCTGTGCCCCTGGTGCCTATCTAGCACAGTGCCCAACAGTGGGCACTGCTGCCTGCCTGCCTCCCTTTTCTTAACAAAGGTCTGCATGTGCCCCTGACACCCCTCAAGCTGCCATTCTATCCCCCGTCCCCCAGTTTTATTGCTGCCTTTTCACAGGGCCTTTCATTATGACTGAAACACTAATTTCAGCACAGCTGGCAGTGACTGATGGTGTGTATGGATGCAGGAGGAGGGAGTGGGGAAGAGGGAGGAGGGATTCACTACAACTTCTGAGACTGGCCTTTGGGAGCAAAAATTTACATTCTTGTCACCATCAGGGCATGAGCTCCCTTTGCTCTGGCTCAGTTCAGACAAGTCTGCCCATGTTACACTTGTGGACCAGAAGCCAGTAAGCCACAGCCCCACGACGGCGTGGCAGCAGCTGTGCGCTGGGGATAGGACACTGGATGTGGTTTCAAGTGAGCTGCAGGTTTGAATCTGGTCTCTGACAATGACTGAGCTGGGTCACCTATAGGTCATGGCCCTCTCTGAGCCTCAGTTTCCTTATCTGTAAAATGGAGAGGATCATGCCTGCAGGACTGTCCTCCCGGGCTTCTTGTGGAGCTCCAGGGAGATGGTATCTGACAGAGCCCTAGAAATGTCCATCATCATCATCATTATTTCTAGGTCTCTGCCACCACAGAGTGTCAGTCGCCACAAATATGCTGGTGCACATGGACCTCTGGCAGTGAGCGGAGGGGCCTCGCACCTAATTCTGATTGTTTTCCACATGGCTTCCACCTCCCCATGTCTCCTTCCTTTCCTGACACATTTCTGATGGTAGTCTGTGCCTGCTGTCTATAGCTCAGAGACCCCCTAGGGAAGATGGCTCCTGGCCTGTGCTCCCGGGGTCATCAGGAGCTGTCGCACCCCACTCCTGCACTGGGACTTTCCCAGCCTAGACTCCTGGCCCTTCCTGGCTGACCTCTCTGCATCTCTCTCCAGGCCCGGCTCCAGCTTAATTCAAACCTTCTAACTGCTGGAAGGTACAGAAATGAAAACCAACCAGCCCCTGCTCTCAAGGAGCTGACAGCCTGCTCTGGCCCATGGTCTAGGCCGCTCACTGGACTCCAGAGGACCTGCTGCCATCGTCCCCAGCCCTCCCGGCCAAGCTGCATCCTCCCCTCATCGGCTTCCCTGCCTGGGTCACTGACATCACCATCCTACCCTCCAACTGGTCAATCACCAAGGTCTGTCAGTATCCTCCTCTCCATTCCCGGGTCACCTCCAGGGCCAGGGCCCCAAGCCTTCCGTGACTGTGTGCTGCCTCCAAGAAACCCCTCCTGTGGCATCCCTGAGCAAGGCCTCCCATCTCTTTGGCCCACACCACTGCCTGATGGGCAGCCTCCCAAAGAGAAGCAGCCTCCCTGAGGGAAGCAGCCTCCAGGCAGACCCTCCCCATGCCCCCAGCAAGGATGTCCTGTCCTCCATCTGGGGGGAGCCGCAGGTGGCACCGGGCCACTTACCGCTCAATCTCCTTTTCATTCCCCTCCCTCCGAAACCGCTCCATGTAGTCTTTGCTCTGGCGCTCCTGGGTCTGGCACTGCTCCTCAAAGATCTTAATTGTTTCATTAAAAGCTTCGATCGCCGTCCTCTTCATCTGAATTTCCTATAAGGAGAAAAGGAAGAAAATGGAACATGTCTGGTGGGTAAGACCAGGGTCCGGCCTGCCTGTGCTAGGGGCTTCTCACACACCAAAGCCACATGAATAGGCCTGAGCCTGCCATAGTCAAAGGAGGATAAAGTGTTTCTGTAGCTCACAGGGGAGAGAAATCACCTCAGGTAACAGCGACAACAATGATAATGCATTTATGTATCTCTTAAAGGTTTACAAATTGCTTTACTTATACTTATGTCTCCTTTGATCTTCACAATTCGGGGAGGTAAATGCTCTTATTATCCCCATTATACAGAAGAGAAAACTGAGGCTAAAGGTCCCACAGCTATTAAGCATCTGAGGCTAGGTTCAAACCTAGATCTACCTGACTGCCTAAAGGACAATCTGAACTAGGCCCACAAACCTATCCTGTTCTTTGCTTGGTTGGGATTATTTGTGGTTTTTGAGGGTAGGGATGGAGTAGTAATTAAGGGGATGGGGAACAGGGAGATAGGAGGTTCCCCAAAAGGCCATCAAAAGCAGGCCTTAAACACAGGATTAAGGAGGGTGCTTGGCCTGGAGCCTATGGGTGGCTGCGCTACTCTGCCCAGCCGTGTGTGTGTGTGTGTGTGTGTGTATGTGTGTGTGTGTGTTTTATTCCAAACTTAACAAACACTCAATATGGGCACTTCCAAATATGGAGCAGAGCAGAAAAAGAGGGTGCAAATGAAACTGCAGATCTCCATTACAGACAGTTTGCTTTTCTTTGGAAGTCTATGAGAAATTCCACCTCGAGCTTTCACAGCTGTCCTGCTTGCCTGTGCTCCTCTCTGCCTTTCCTTCTCACATATTTAAGAAGACAGTTCTTGTTTACATTCCTGCATGGAAAGATGATATTTATAACTCATGAGACCTTTGTCAGTATCAGGGTAGTTGGAGGAAAAAAATTATATGTATGTATATGTAGATAGATAGAGGGCACAGGGTGAGTTGAAGATTAAGGGGTCATATCTGGAGAAAAAAATTAAGGGATGAGAGAGGATTATACTCAGAGAAGAAGGAAGGGAGAGGTAGAATGGGGTAAACTATCTCACAAAAAAAAAACAGAAAAGTCTCTTACAGTGGAAGGGGAAACAGGGGAAGGTGAGAGGGAATGAGTGAATCTTATTCTCAAAGGATTTGGCTTAAGGAGGGAATAACATACACATTCAATTGGGTATGGAAATCTGTCTTACCCTACAGGAAAATAGGGGGAAAGGGGACAAAGAGCAGGGGGATGATAGAGAGGAGGGCAGATTGGGAAAGGGGTTAATTAGAAGTAAATACTTCTGAGGAGAGACAGGGTCAAAAGAAAGAATAGAATAAATGGGAGGGCAGGATAGGATTAAGGGAAATAGAGTTAGTTTTTCACAACATGTCTACTATGGACGTGTTTTGCATAACTGCACATGTACAACTTATATTGAGTTGCTTGCCTTTTCAATGAGGGTGGGTGGGGAGGGAGGAAGAGAGAAAATTTGAAACCTAAAGTTTTAAAAACATATGTTTAAAAAAAATGTTTTCACATACTACTGGGAAATAAATATAGGAAATGGGGTACAGAAGTCTATCCTGCCCTACAGGAAAATAGAAGGGGAAGGGGATAAGAGAAGGGGAGAGAGATAGAAGAGAGGACAGAGTAGGGGAAGGGATATTCAGAACGCATGACATCTTGGGGGGGGGAGGGGGGAGATGGGGTGAAAATTTGGAACTCAAAAACTTGTGGAAGGGAATGTTGAAAACTAAAAATAAATAAATTTATATTTAAAAAAAAAAAGACAGTTCTTCAGGGGCTCCCAGGCTCCTCTCCATCCCCATCTCTGCCTTCACAGCCCCTCAGACATGACTTCTTGCCTCCCGTCACCTGCCCTTCGCCTCCATGGCAGCCCCACACAGGGCTGGGCACACTGTGGTGCTCTGGAATTCCCCTGTTCCATCTCCACAGGCCATCCTCTTGAAATTCCTTCTCTGCCCATGCTGCCACCCTCCTCCTCACAAGCTCCGGTCTTCCTGCCCCCCAGGCTCTGGCCTCACTGTCTTTTCTGTTTGTCTCTCTCCCCTCCCGACGTTGGCCTTCTCCACATTTGCACACTTGATACCAATCAGCATTAAAGGAAGTTAAAAGCCAAGCCAACAGGTTTACAAATTACTTTACCGTGCCACCTCCTTTGATCCTCACAACAGCTCTAGGAGGTGCTCTTATTATTCCCATTTTACAGATGAGGAAACTGAGTCCTCTCACCCTCCTCCTCCCAGCAGAGGACCTCACCTCAGACTCTACTGGGGGAAAAATGGAGCCTTGCGGTCATGAGCTCCCTCTCTTCCCTTTATGCTTCAGCCCTACCCAGGACCAAACCCTATCACCTCCTTCTTGGCACTGGCCTCAGAGATGAGATGGCTCTCTCTCTCTCTCCTCAAAGGAGGCCCTTTCCCTTACAAACAAAGATGTCTCCCTGCTCTAACTTTCACCCTCTCCCATCCGCTGTCTCCTTCCTTACCTCCTTCAGACTCATGCCAACGTCACCCCCCCCGGAAACCTTGACCTGAACTTATAGTTACCTCCAAGTCAGCGCCTGGCCTCGTCTACTCTTCCTCCCGCCCCCTCCCTTCTCAGCCTTGCAGTCCGGCCTCCACTGGTCTACTGGTCCGTAACTGCTCATCCCAAAGAGCTGATCATCTCTTCAGCGATGGATGCAATGGTTTTTTCTCAACCCCCGTCCTCCTGAACTCTCTGAAGTCTTGGACGCTGTGGACACCCCTCCCTCCTCACTGGGTTTTCATGACATTGATCTCTCCTGCTTCTTCCCTCCCTGGTGGACGGAGCCTTCTTTTCCTTTATAGGACATCATTAGACCCCATGGATGCCCTGGACGCCCCTCTCTTCTCTTTCTATTCTTTCTCTCTTGGTGACCTCATCAACGGCCATAGGCTTGACCCTCACCTCCATGCAGGTGGCTCCCTGAGCCCCTGTCAGTCATCTTCACCTGGAGATCCCCAAGGCATCCCACGTTTCCTCCTCTATTCACAGTGGAGAGGGATGGACCACCACCTTTCCAGTCACCCAGACTGTTGTCCTCTTCCTCACCCTCCATGGCCAGTGAGTGACCATCTCTTGTTTAATCTACCTCCTTCACGTGGCCCTGTATACTCTACACCCACCTTGGCCCCCGCCTGCAGGCCCTCTGTCCCAGACCACTGTAGTCCCCTCCTGACTGGTTTTCCTGCCTCCAGTCTCCCCCTCGCCAATGCATTTACCTCACAGCCCCTCCCTTTCTCAAGAAGCTCTGGGGGCACTCTGTCACGTCTCCCTCAGGCAGGTAGATGACTCCGGCTGCCCTGGGCACCCCTTGCTCTTGCCATGTGATCAGCCCCTCTTCCTGACAACACCCTTCTACACTGGAGCTTCCATTCCCTTGATGAAGGAGCCGGCTCCCACCCACTCTGCACTTGCTGTCTGGTATGGACTCTTCCTGAGTTCTGCAGGCAGAGGCATTCCAGCGAGCGTTAGTACTGAAAAGCTTATGGGAAGCCAGGCTACCTCTGCCTTCTAGGCCTGGGCCCGGCTCACTGCTTCTTTGAACTATCTGTCTCAGATGAGCTCCACAGGCTGTCTGCCCATCTGGAAGGATGTTGAAATCTGGGCAACAGACTCTTTTTATCCACTTGGTCTTTTCTGTGTGGATGGACATGCTAAATTCCTATCAGTTACACTCCTAAATGTGTCTTCCCAGGGACAATCTTGGACAAATGGAGCCACGTCTGTTTTGCTGGTGCCTCAAGTATCGGCTCTAATGCTCAGTGCCCTAATGGGACCACTTCATCGCTGCTGAATGTCACCTGGACACCGCTGCCAGACTCCCCTGGAAGGAAGGGACAGTCAGGAAGGCTGGCCTAAAGCTTGGGCTCCAATGAAGGATGGCTGAATAAATGATCCACTCATTTCCTGAACTTGGCCCTTATAGCAATGTGGGAGGCAGGAGGGGAGATTGGGGGGCAGGGTTATAAAAAGAACTCTTTTTTCCTAGAAATTTAAGATGCAGCCCGCTGGAGGGTCCCCCCGTTGGTGAGCCCAGCACAGGCTCCCACTTAGGAGCCAGGCTGTGGTATAATGAATATCAACGGCTTCTATCTGAGCCTCAGTCATTATCTAAATAAGAAAATACACCAAGGGAACGTGTCTGAAAGCATTTTCTTGGGTCAGTGCTCGCCCAGAAGTGTATAAAGCCATGCCTGCAAACAGTCCCGGGCGTCATAAAAATTCCTAGCATCTTCCACATACCAAGCTTCAACACGGGTCAAATAAAACCAAGTTGGCCCTAATCAGGGAAGAATGAAAAGGAGCCAGGAAGCAAGAGGGGGAAGGGCCGAAAGGCCAGCTGAAACATTAACCCTCTCTGCCACAGAGCAATCTGTGACCAAATAAGAATGTACCCATTGGCAGCTTGTATGCAAATCACCAAAGTTAATTTAGAGGATATAGAGGCAGGCAGAAGGTCACGGCTATTGGCAGCTGAAGGTTTTGGCCCAACCTCTTGGCCCTAAGGGTCTTAATAAGGGCAGGAGTCAGTCTGCTCATCTGTAAAATGGGGAAGAAAAGCTCTGTGCCATCTGTCTCCCATGAATGCTGTGCCTCTGACGGACCATATTGTGGTTATTTCCTGAGCCCCCGCCATGAGCCAGGTCCTGAGCTCATCCCCCTCAGGCTCTCAGGGAGATGAGAGGAATCTGGTCCAATGCAAGCTAGGAAAAGGGTGTCCTTATCTCCCTGGGCCTGGACTCCCTGCCTCTGGGGTCTCTACCAGCTTCCAAGTCAGGACCCTCCACTTCTGACAAGTAGATGTCCAGCCTGCTCAAAGACCTTAAATAGGGTCCTCCCCCACCAGGCTTCAGAGGCAGCAGCTTCCCTTCTGTGGAGCTCACCCCTGGGGCCTAGGTATGCCTCAGGGCCACGTCTGCCCGTCACAGCTCGCCCTCAGTCTTCCCATCTGCCATGCTGTGGTCCCTCACCAATGGAAGGCAGGGACCACATGACCTGGTGTCTCTTTCCCAGGCCTCCACCAACCCTCCTATGAGCTGGACTCCAGGCCCTTCTTCCCGGGTCTGCTGCCTGCCTGGGGACCTGCTCTGGCTTCTGAACGTCCTTTTTGAAAGGATGGCGCCCAGAGTGTGGTCTGAGCTTAAAAAGGCCTGACAACCCAGGCAGAGCCTGAACAAGTAAATCATCTGGGATGCTGAGGACAGAGGTCCTCACACCATGAAGCTTCCCTGAGCCTCTGCCAGGCGCCTCACGGGCCAGTGACCCACCTGCGAGGTCCTGGTGTACTCCTCATACAGCCGGTCATACTCTTTGCTCTTCTCTTGGTACTGGGAGTGGTATTCCTGTAACTTGGTGCCCACAGCATCGATGTTGTCTTCTTTCACCAGCTGATCCTGCACAGAGGAAGGAGGTGAGGCTGACAGCAGGATACCCAGCCCTGAATCCTGGCCTTAATGAGTTCTTGTCATCAACTGAGCCCATTGGCCAACAGGCCCCATGGGAAAGCGTGTGCCCCCCCCCCGCACCCCCTCTGCACGTGCCCACCCTGCATTCCCTCTGCCTGCTCCTGTCCTGTGCCTGTCCTATGCCCCCTCTGCCCCTGCCCATCCTGCACTCCCTCTGCCTATGCCCATCCTGTGCCCCCTCTGTCCCCACCCACCCTGCACCCCCTCTGTCCATGCCCAATCCATCCTTCTGTCCACACCTGTCCTGCGCCCCCTCTGCCTGTGCCTGTCCTGTGCCCGCTCTGCCCCCACCCACCCTGCACCCTTTCTGCCCGTGCCCATCCTGTGCCCCCTCTGTCTGCGCCCATCTAGCCTCTCTGCATTTGCACACAATTTGCCTGAGCTCTGCAGCTCTCACATGCCGTTCTCCTCATGCTACGTCGTCATCTCTGGGATTATTTCCCTAACACTCCCATGTAACCTGTCCCTTTAATTCAGTCTCCGCTCAACAGAGCTGCCGAGAGTTTGCCCCTCACCCTTGGTGCCATTCGGTGTGGCCACGCAGGGCACAGGAGGGCGCTCGTGGTGGCCCGGGCGCTGCCCGCGCAGCCTCACCTGCTGGTACCTGGAGATGGGGTACATCAGCTTCACATCGAGCTTGGGGTTGTACTGGGCCAGAGACTCGTGACGGTAGTGATTGATCAGCTCCGCCACGGAGCCGAACGTCAGCGGGTCGGAGAAGCCGTATTTGCCATCCCGATGGTAAATCTTAATCAATTTGTTGTTACCTCCCTTCCTGTAAAACACAAGGACGCCCACTCGCGTGAGTGGCCACACAAGGAGAGAGCTGGGCCGCGCAGGTGGGGACAACAGGGAGGGCAGGAGGGCCGAGCCTCTGACTCCACCCCAGGGAGGTCTGAACGATCCGGGGTGGATCTCAGCTCACATGGGGATCATCACACCGCTTCCCCACTCATCCAGTGGGTCTGTGCAGGTCACAACCCACCCAGGCCTTCCCAGCCTGTAGGATCCTGTTCTCCCATGAGTGTGCCACAGGACACCCAGCCCCTGCACCAGTGGCTTTTCCTGTTCTCCATCAGTCAGTCCACAAGCCAGGCACCGTTCTAAGTGCTAGAAATGCAAATATAAGCCAAAAACTGTCCCTGCCCTCCAGGGGCTTCTGTTCCAATGGGGGAAGATGAGACAGACAAGGCAGCTGGGGGGAGGGTGCTGGAAGCTGGAAAAGTCCCGAGAGTCAGGAACAGAGCTGGGAGAGGTGACCGAGGATGACCTGGGCCCTCCCTTCAATGGTGCTCCCTCCCAGGCACAGAGGCAGAAAAGCCTGGAGGCTCAGGAACAGAGCCTAAGGGGAGCCAGGCAGGGACGTTTTCATTCTTGTCTCTGTCATCCCCAGGGCCTGGCATGTGGTAGGAGGAGAATCAATAGTGAAAAGGTGGGCCCTTCGGAGACAAGCTTCTGGGCATTTCCCCAAAACAATCCACCCAGCCTCTTCTTCTACTTTAATTCTAGGGCAGTGCACTGTCCTAGAATTTGCATATACTCATATACGAGCTCTAGAGGTGGTCCACGCAAGAGAACACCAGGCTGGACACTTATCATCCACTTGGTTTTTCCTTTGTGGATGGTCAAGCCAAACTCTTTGGCGCGATCATGAAGTTCAGCTAGGAATTCTGCAATGGCCCTAGGCTTGATGTCACCTCAGAGCATCCCCTGGGAATCCCTCAGCCTCTGGTCTCTGCCCTGGACAGTCTGATGTCAGTAACAAAGCTCCTGGGTGAGCATTCATCCCTCTCCCTGTTTTATGCCATATTTGCTATTAATATCAGAGGTTTGTGTTTGGAATAAGGTTCTCTCTCTTGTTTCAGCTTTCAAAGAGTCCTGGGGCAGGGTGAGGACTAGACAAGAAGGCCCCGAGGGGTCCTCCAGTGCCAGAGGCCGCCAGAGACACCAACTCAGCAATGGTGTCTCCTCAGAATGTGACCCAAGGGGTCCCTGCCAGACAATTGAGGGGGGAGCGTGGCTCCGATCTCCTTGTTCATTAAGCTCCCACAACGACCGGAGAACAGGGTAACGAATTCTGCTCACTGTCACCTTATCTTGTCACAGAGGTGCTAAGAGTCCCCAGAAATGACTGTTTAAACCACTAATACACAGGCAACTCTCCTGTCATTCAATTCTTTCCCCAGTTACGGCTTTCAAAGTTCCACATACATTTGACTGGCGTTAGATCACTTTATTTAGGAGTCAGATTTAAGTTTAAAGGACAGAGTCCAGCCACAGCTAAACGTGGCAGTTGGAGGCCTGCGAAACTCCTGGTACAGCAGCCCCCAAGGTGCCTAAAGACTCAGCCATCTGCACTGGGCTCCATTTTTAATTTTTATTTTTGAAGAGGCAGAGGATGTCCCATCATAGCTTCTTGAGGGCACATCCCAATGAACCGAGAGCAGGTGTCCCTCTTGTTAGTTGTGTGACCAAGGACTTTATCCTAAAGGCAAAGGGGAGCCACTGAATCTTCATGAGGGGGATAGTGGCATGGTCAGATCTGCTCCCTTCTGTGACTCTTGTTTGTCTTTGGCTTCTGTCTCTCCCCACCCAGGCAGCTGAAGTTCCATGAGGGCAGGCACTGGGAAGGGACCTGGGCCATGTCAAGAGAAGCCTCTGACTGCTGGGTGAGGAAGGCGCCGGTGCCCCATCCCTGTCTCGGTCAGACCCTGCCTGGGCAGCACCCTTCAGAACGGACATTGACAAGCTGGCGTGGCCTTGAGAAGAGAAGCCTGGCTCAGGCCATGAGAACCGGCAGTGCTATGAGAGCACAGTGGACCTGGGTGGCTGAATCACGGAGGACAGAGCTAGAAATAACACACGAGAGTCCCACACAGGCAGGCAAGAAGGCTGCCTCCAGGGGTGGGGAGTAGGCCATTGCATGGAGGCTGGATGTTGTAGACGGGCTTTGTATTCAGAAACAGGCTGGACTAGAGGCCTCCGAGGACTCTTCCATCTCTGAGATTCTGTGAGTGAGTGTCAGAGACTTCATCTTTCTTCCCTAGCACTCTGGACACAACTGGTGTTTAATAAGAGCTTATGGAAACAAACTAGTTCGTTCAGTCACAACTAGGAAACAGTTTTTCAGTACTGTCTGCAGTGACGCCTCCACCCAGGTCCCCAAGGTGCAGTGAGAGGAACTCCCTGCTCCCACCCCCACCAAGAGGCAAAATGCGCCAAGGTACTCTGAGGGCAGGCCTCACCAAAGTGGGTGCCTTAGGGGCAGAGGTGAAGTCCACTAGTGCACCTTCTGGCCGGCCTCATCAGAGGACCTGCAATTGACCCAGTTTGCTGTCAGGAAAGAGAAAAAGTCTGTCCCTTCTCAGTGCATTCACGACTACACAAAGCACCGGCTTCCTTTTGTGCTCCATAAAGAGCCCGATCCTGCAGCCAGAGGAAGCACCGCCATTGTCTGACCCACAATTGGGGGGTTTCCAGGAATGCCTACCCGGAGAGAGCACAGGAAGCAGGGTAGAACCAAGGGAAGGCCAGGGACAGGGGGGGCTGAGGGAGAGGCCAGAGCCGTGCTCCTGGGGAGATGGCAGCGTCGGCCCCTGAAGAAGGGCCAGGCAGGCGCTGCAGACAGGAAGGAGACGTGCAGGGCTGCTGCAGTAAAACGTGGAGGACAGACCTTTCTGCAGACCTTCCTCTGCGGAATGTTTCAGCCCCTAAGCCCCCAATAAATGTCTCTAAGTAGCTTCATAAGTAGAGCTGGCCATGCGGAGCCTCTCCCCAGCACCCCGTGCTGCCTGCAGGCTGTGTCCAGGACCTCCTCCCTCAGACACAGTGAATCACAGCCTTGGCGCTGGAAGGGGCCTTGGAGGGATGGCAGCTCTCCTCTGAAACCTTAGGGCTTTCTGTTTCCCATTAGCAAGGAGATGTATTGGAGGTAAGCTGCTGCCTCCCGTGTTAAGGAGGAGCAATCTGAGCCAGACCTGGAGTGCCAAGATCATCACAGAGATGGCTCGGGGAGGCAGTGTGGCCTTGTGGGCTCCGGGCCTGCTGCTCTGGCCCCCTGCAGAGGACTGACCCCCCCCAAGAGCCCCTGGGCCTTGCCTGCTGTCCCCAGCAATCATGAATAGGCAGAAGGAGCTTCCCAACAGCAGGTCCCTGGCATTGATCCCAGTGTTTGGCATGAGGTCAGTGCTTAATAAATGCCTTTCCATCCCATCCCATCCTGGCTGTGTGAACCTGGCCAAGTCACCTCCCTTTCCAGTGGCCAGGCAAGTCTTTAAGCAGAGCAGCTGCCAACTTTCATCAGCAGAGGGAGCTTCTTCGCCTGGGAGTTCTCGAGACCTGTCCGTGCCTTACAAAAACGCCAGCTAACTCGTCCCTGCGCGTCAGGGTCTGCAGAGCTGCCTGTACCTCACTCTTCTCTTTGGTCCTGGGCACCAGCCTCAGCACAGAGCCTTACAGGAGATGAGAGCCACGGGGCAGGAGGCGCTCTGGCAGGCTGGGGAGATGCTCCCCAGACACCGACAGAAGAGAGGGGCCCATTAGTACCCAGGAGGCTCCCGCCAGTAGCTGGAGGCTGCATGAGGAAACCTTTGTGGGTCCCACTGTCCTCACCAGAAAGGCTGCCCCGTCCCAACCGTGGGCCAAGCAGCCAGAGTCCCCCCCCGGCTCACCGCAGAGTCAGTGTGTAGTCCCCCTGCACCTTGGTGGAGGCGTCTCGCACCAGGAAGGTTCCATCAGGCATGTCCCGTAGTTTGTCATTGACCTCTTCCCTGGAGAGAAAGGGCAGCAGAGACAGAGGAAACAGGATGGTCAAGCCCAGGGAGAGGCAGCAGGATTAGTCTAAGGGGTGGCCGAAGGTGGCCTGAAGAAGGCCCTCCTGAGGCCATCATGGCCTGGTGCTTCCTCATCTCATGGGCATCCTCATGGGTAACCCCTCTCCCCACCCCCACCCCCCAGATTGTCACTGTTTCTTTTTGCTCTATCAGATGTTCCAAGGGTAGACGATATGCCCTTTAAACTGGCTCAGATTTCAGATGCTGGGGGGGGGGAGGGGGGCAGCGCTATTGTTTCTCTTCAGCCTTTGGGGCTTTCTTGCGCAGGCCTGAACTTGAATGGCCTCCCAAGAACCAGCAGCCACCCTCAGCTGCCATGGGGAAGAAAGGCTCTTTTTAAGCAACAGGGATAGGTGGGGTGGTGACATCTTGGGAGCCAAGGAAGACTTGGGGTCCACAGTGGTGGGCAGCCCAGGTCCAAGGGCAGGTTTGCCCTTTGGATCAGGAGTTTAAAGAATAGGCCTCCTTTTCCAGAAGCTGGGCTGGGTAGGACAGGAAGCTGTCGGAGTCCCAGCAGAGCAATCACCTGATCTTAGAGAAGCCACCATGTTTGTGACCAAGACCACCTGTCTTTCATGGACAGCAAAACAAGGAAAAATCCCTTTCATCGGGCTAGGACATTGGACTCAATTTGAGAAGATGAAGGTCAACAGGGAGAAATGTAAAGTTTTACACTTAGGTTTAAAAAACCTCAGCTTTCCCAAGACACGACGAGAGAAGCATGCTTAGATAGCAGATTGTCTGAGAAAGACCTGGAGGTTCACCAGTGGGCTCTTCCTCCCTGGGGGTCTGCAGGCACAGCATGGTCTGGGCTAGAAGACCACATCTGAGATGCTCTGATTCAGTCATCTCTTTCCACAGATGGGAGCATGTCAGAACCAAACCAAGCCAACGTCGGCCTTGCTCTGATCCTGAGATGTCCAAGCAAAGCCTTGGAAAGCTTTGAGCGTTGGAGTTTGTGTCTGCTGCCCCCCCGGAAGCCCAGAGTCCTCCTTTGATGTGGAAGCCACGACAGCGCAAACAAATGACTGGGGACCACATCACCCCATCCCCCTGGACCCGCTCCGATCCACTCTGCTCAAAGACAAGGTGTGTCCCTTTACGAGTTCTGGGAGGAACCACTTCTAGCTAAGGTGGCCTTGGAGATTTCCTGGTCCCTGCAGAGAAGCATCCGGCCTTCTGACACCCAAGAAGCTCTTATGAGGACAGCTCTGGCCAGTGGGGAGAGCCCTAAAATCTGAATGTGAACACCCGGAAGCCCCTGTGGAGCTCAGGCACTGCTACCTCCTTGGGGAAGCCAAGAGCACTCTGGACACCTTGGAATCCAATGCCCCATCTTCCAGAAGGAGAAAAGGTTAACGTGATGCTGGTGCTAAGGGCTCACCTTGAGATGTCTCCCCAGTACCACTCTGCGTCAGGAAGGGAAAAGCCCGAACTGTCCTTCATCCCATTGGCACCGGCTTGAGTCGAGGATTTGGGCGGCTTTGGCGGAAGAGCTAAGAGAGAAGAATCAGAAAGGATTTAAGGGCCACACATTGTTTACTGCGGACTCTCGATTTCCCTCACCTCACCCATTAACCCATGAAAAACCAAGTGCTCAACATAGAACTGACAGACATGTGAGTGTTGGAAAAGCCCTAGGTCCCTCTGGGCCACTCACACTGGAGCAGGAGCTCCGCCCAGACCCCACGAGGAGGCTGCAGCTCATGGGGATCTCTCTCCTTTCGGGGGAGGCTCACACTCTTTTTGGATGGTCCTAGTCTTTAGGCAGCACCTCCTGATATGGAAGTGAGATCCGTATCTCTGTACCTTCAAATATCACGCCCCACTGGCCTGGACCTTGGCCTTCTGGGGCAGAGTAAAACAGGTCTGTCTTCCACTCTGCACACCAGTCCTTCTCCAAATCCCTGCAGATAGCCACCCCACAGGCCTCTCCTCTTGTGACTGGTAGTCACACGCCATGGCTTTCTACCTGCTGGCTGTTCTATAGAACTGACCACACGTGGCATGGCATGGCCCATGATGGCCAAAGTGATCCTGGGATTTAGAACTCTTTGTCACGCTGAACTTCCAGGCCACTAGGATGTCCTGGTCTTCTTCATACAAAGTATTATTCTAAGGAGCTTCTTCCCATTTCTGGGCCTGGAGCTACTTTATGCTAAATGGGGAAAAAGAAGCACCCTGGAATTCTTCTGGGGGATTAGGAGTAATTTGGGAGTAACTAATTTTCTCCTCCCTAAAAACAATCTATTTATTCTTACTCTACCAGCAGACGTTGATCTTTCAGACGCTGTTTGCTGGCCAGAATCCCCCTGGAACCACAGGTCCCCGAAATGGGCAAGATGCCAAATGCGCCCCAGCAACTCAAACGTTCCCCACCAACAAAATGCATGCTGCAGCCGTCAAGACGCTTTAAAAAGAGCAGCTTCCTAAAACCTGAATTCTTCCATCGACTCCTAGAAGGGCCTGAGTGCTTTTTTCATCTGAGGCGATAACCAGAATTCTCTTTCAGCCTTTCAGTTCAAAGCCTCGCTTGGGCCTGGACAGTCTCCACCTCTGCAGCACGCCTGACAAGTGGCCTGGGCTTCCGCCTGCCACCTCCCAGGGCAGCCCATTCCTCAGTCAGGGTGAGGACGCTTTCTGCAGCATCTACCCATCTCTCCTCGGTCTCCCCTCGGGGGCTAACCACAACACTCAGGGGCTCTCTTGTCCTGGTAGTCCTACAATCCACTGGCCCCTCTTTCAGGCGTAGTTCCACAGACGCCTTCTACAGGTCTCCTGACTGACCCGCTGTGTTGCCCCTCCAGCAAGCCACCTGGTTAGCTACCCTTGCGTCCTGATTTGTTTCTTTGACACCAGGAGCCTGATCAACTGGTGACAAACATTTCCATTTTCATGGAAACCAATGAAAAAATGACAAAGTGGCTCTCATTCCTGTGCATCCCCTTCTGCTTCTGAAGAGGTAGAGGGGGCTAAAAATGACACAGCTTTTAGACCATCTGCAAACTTGACTATTGATGAGCTAAGTGTAAGATCTTTCCCAAGGGCCAATGCGTGGAAATATTGTTGGAGGACCAGAATCCTATCAATGATGACATTTTTGTTGTAAATGAAACTAGAAGAAGGACATTGAAGCTCAATGGAAAGATGCCTGACAAGTGGATCTTGGAGAGGCAAAGAAAGAAGCTGGAGGGATAGGTCACAAGAAATACTATTTTAGGGGTCCTCATGTGTTGTAGTATTAATGGTAAGTATTTGTAAAAGGTCCACCATGAAAATACTTACAACTTATGAACTAACACTGGTTACCAAGGACAAAGTGGTTCAGAAATTCTATGAAACTTGACGATTTCATGCAAACGTGGTAAAAGGTAAGGATGGGAGAAACAGGAAGGAAAGTGTGTCTCAAGAGAAAAAAAGGAGAGAGGCCCCACACTGGCAGATTCTTGAGACTCTACAGAATCTTCCATCTCTAGACCATGAATACATTCTTTAAAAGAAGAAAAGGATTAATAGGCCCTGGACATTGTAAGCACCAGATACAACCACAGGGAATGACATAGACTACTTTGGAAAAGACAGGAAAATATTTACTATGGACATTAGAGTTATCCCTAAGTCAGCTATCTCTAGACAGGCTGCTGAATCATCAGAATTAAGATAAAAAATTTTAAACAAACAAGAATAGTCATGAGAAAAGATATGATCTTCAATTAAGAAGTCTTATCTTTGAATTATTTGAACAAGTGATTGAAAATAAAAACTGGGAAATGGACAACAGAAATGACACTGACACCAAGAGTTATAATTTCATCCAGAGTTAAACCCATGTCAATTAATGATGACAGCAAGGGAGCCCAAGGATCTCAGAAAGCGCCATCCATGGCAAACATCTGCCTCACTTGCCAAGTGGGAAGACGTCTGCCCAAGACAATGTCAGGTTAGAACAAACCTGTCTGGATGATGATGACTTATATTAGAGCATAAAGTAGAGAGAAGTGGAGGGGGCTTATAGAAGATGTAACATAAAGATAAGCATCTCATCTGAAGATGAGAATCTCAGAGCAGGCAATGGGAAGGTGCTTGGGGAGTAGGAGCTGGCTGAAACCCAGAGCCAGGAGGGGCTCTTTGGGAGCAAAGGAGGAGACAAAATGTAGGAGAGGAAGGGAAGATCGGCCAGTCACATGGCAAAAGCAAGGAAGGCCGTGTGGAAGTGGAAGAGCTCCACACCCGCCCTCAGGGTGTTGGGAGAAAAGGAGGAAGGCTTCCAGTGTGCTGGGCAGACCCTCATGAAGAAGTTTTGGGAAGATATGGACAAGCCATGAGCGGCATGAATAAACTGTGAACTGCATTGTTCAAGGGATGCATGAGACCACTGATCCACTTGAGTATACTCAGTCAATAGAAACCCACTTTGTTTTTTGCTACCACAAACAGTATGACAATGAATATTTTGGATTTTATTTTTTTAAATTCTAAACTTTGTACCTGATAAAATTAGCATTACCATCTACAAAACAGAAAAGAAAAAGACTGTACATGAAACCACAAATCTCTATTATGTAAAGCTTGCTTTTCCTTTTAAGTATCTAATAAATGCAACGTCTCTTTCAAAGCTGTCCTGCATGTTTCTTCCAGCATTCCTTGTTTTCTAATGTGCATTTAAAATGTTTCAATAAGCCTCTTGTCTTTTGTTTTTATTGGCGGGGGGGGGGGGGGGTAACCTTACTGGTAAGTCTCTTCTTTTTCCTAAGCCCCTCCCATTGAAAAAGGGGGGGGGGACTCTTGTAGCAAATATGCATTAGTGAGCAAAAATAAATTCACTATGTTAGCCATGTTAAAAAAAAAGTATGCCTTATTCTGCCATCTGAGTCCTCTATGACAGGAAATAGGTAGTGTACCTTTATTATCAGTGCTCTGGAGCAGTGGTTTGAAAAAAAAGATTTGGATTGATATCATTGTTAAAATTATATTGCTTAAATTTCTCTTATATCTCACCCCCTTCGCCTTCCAAGGAGCCATTGCTTACAGCAAAGACTGTGGTTGTTTAAGAAAAAAGGGGGAAAAAATCAGCAAAACCAGTGAGCACATGAAAAAAAAAAACCCGGTGTGTGTGTGTGTGTGTGTGTGTGTGTGTGTGTGTGTCCCCGCCATGAACCCTCATATCTACAAAGGAGCAGGAGTTGGTGTTTCCTTCTGTCTCCTCTCTGGGGCCAAGTTTGTGACAATTGACAATTTCACAACAGTTACTTTTGGTGGTTTCCGGTTGTTGTTCTTCCATTTGTACTGTTGTAGTGATTACGTCGTTGTTGTCTCGGCTTTGCTCACTTCCTTCTGCATCTGTTCATGGACATCTTCCCATGCTTTTCTGTATTCCTCATCATAGTTATAATTTTTTGCCCCACTAAAATGCCCCACTTACCTTCGTGTGCCACCATCTGTTTCACCACTCCCCAAACATGGGCATTCACTTTATTCCCAGTTCTTGGCTACCTCAGAAAGTGCTGGTGGGAATATTTTAGTGTCTGTGAGATCTTCCCTTCTGTCTTTGACCCCCTTGGGGCACATGCTGAGCAGCTGGCTCTCTGGGTCAGATAGGATGGATGTCATATTCATTTTATTTTCATAATTCACAGCTCCACCAAAAATGCATTAGTGCGACTCTCTCTCTACAATTCCTCCAACATTAACTATTTCCATCTTTGGCAATTTTTACCAATTTGCTGGGTTTGAGGTGAAACCTCAGGGTTGTTTTGATTTGCATTTCTCTTGTCATGAGTGATTTGGAGTATTCTCTCATGTGTTTGTGAATACTTTTCAATTTTTCTTTTGAGAACTATTTACATACTTCAACCACTCTCAAATTGGGGAATGGCTTTTGATCTCATATAGGTGTTTTTCTTTACAACATTATTGTTGTTGTATAAATTGTCCTCCTGGTTCTGCTCTCTTCTTTCTGTATCAGCTCATACAAATCTTTCCAGGGGCCTGTGAACTGTCTCTTTTATCATTTTTTATGGCACAATACTATTCCATTACATTCATATACAATAATTTGGCCAACCATTCCAACTGATGGACAGCCTTTTACTTTCTTTTTTTAAATTTTTTCCTTTTTCTTTTTTGGTTGAGTGACTTGCCCAAGGTCACACATCTAGTTAAGTGTTAAGTATCAAGTGTCTAAGGTTGAATTTGACCTCAGGTCCTCCTGACCCCAAGGCCAGAGCTCCATCCACTGCCCCACCCTTTTACTTTCTTGTTCTTAGCTACAACAAAAGGAGCTTCCATAAATATTTTTGTATCTGAGTCTTTCCCCTCTGCCTTTGATCTCTTTGGGGTATTGCCCCTCCCAGCTCTGCTTCTGACTTTCCAGACTTTGCCACCATGCCTCAGCTGCTTCTTCTCCTGGAACTTTCTGGACTTCTATCCTGTGCCCCGATGTGTGTTGTCTTCCTTCATTAGATTGTAAGCTCCTTGAGGGCAGAGACTCTTGTTT